TTCGCTGGCTCTCACACAAAACAGGTCTTCAAGTTCAGCATCAAGAAAGTCCAGAAGGAGAGAAAAGGGTGCGCGTTTCTGATGGAAGTATTTTACGTCTCGATGGGTATATTAAAAACATTGGAGGAGTAGACCAAGCTATTGAATTTTTGGGCTGTGCATGGCATGGACATGAATGGTAATTAATTTTATATTCCAAATTATTTGTTTTTAGTTTATATCGCCCACATGAAGTATGTTTAAATGGAAAGACAGCATTATATAACAAAGATAAACTTTATGAGCGTGTTGGCTTATTGAAAGAAGAGGAAATTTGGACTACTGCCGTATGGGAATGTGAAGTTATGAGAGAACTTGAAGACGATCCGGAAATGTCTCTGTTTTTTGATACCTTGCCAGATATTGGCCCTTTGTATCCTAGAGATGCTTTTCATGTATGATCTAGCTAAAATTTAGTATTAATTTTAATTAAGGGTGGAAGAACGGGGCCTTTAGCTTTGAAATGTGATTTAGAAGGATCAGACGAATTTGAAATTTCATGTTTTGATGTTGTAAGCCTTTATCCGGCCGTGAATTTTTACGCATTTTATCCGATAGGTAAATTTAAATTATATTTAAATAAAATTATATTTTTATTAGGACATCCGAATATTTTGGAATTGAATAAAGATGTGAATTGGACTAAACCTGAAGATTTACATCCATATAGAGGGCTGTTCAAGCTTTTCATAATTCCTCCAGATGATTTGTATCTTCCAGTAATTCCAGAACGAATTCACGGAAAATTGGTAAAAATTTTCTTTAATTTTATATTATAAATAAACAGATATTTCATCTTTGTCATCGTTGTGCAGTGGAAATATCTCCAGGTGTGGCAATAAGGGCAAATCGTAAATATAACAGAGAAATTGGGCACAAATGGTGTCCGCACACAGATGAGCAACGAGGATTTGTTAGTACTACTTGCTCGGTAGAACTTGAACTTGCTTTGAAGCAGGGATATAGAGTGACTAAAGTTTACAACATTTATCATTGGGAAAAGTGGTCAGACACCTTGTTGCGGCCTTATGTCCAGGATATGATGCGTCTAAAAATTGAGGTAAAAACTATTTTTATAATCAATATAAAATAATACAGGCGAGCGGATGGCCTGCTAGTGTATTTGTCCCTGGAAATCCTGAATTAGAGGATCAGAAGAAAAAAGATTTTATTGAACGAAACCAGAGTGTGTATGGAATACATTTAGATCCAACACGAATTGAAAGAAACGAAGGCATGCGTTACCTTGCAAAGACATGCAACAACTCAATGTGAGTATAATTTAAATATTGTTGTAGTTTTTTAATTTAGGTGGGGGCGATGGGCACTGAGGTGTAATTTGTCTCAGGTATCTTCCCTATAAATCTGTCAATAAAAAGTTTTAGGATTGTATAACTAGTTCCCCTCTGGAGCTCCACACGGTTCTTAATGATCCAAAACTTGAGCTTGGGGCTGTGGAAATGTTGGCTCCTAATCTTTTTTCTGTTCCATATCGTCATCGAAGAGAATTTGTACGCCCTCATGACAAATACAATATTGCAATTGCACTAATTACAACGGCAAAAGCCAGAATAATGCTATACGATTATATGGAAAAAATAGTGAAAGAAAAAGATTGCAAGTTGCTTTATACGGATACGGATAGCTGTTTTTACGTACATCGCCGAGGACAAACACCTCCATTTCGTGTTGGTGAAATGCTAGGGATGATGGACCGCGAATATGGCGAATGGAACATTATTGCATTCTATACTGGAGGGTGCAAGCAGGTATTCAATTATTTTTTATCGAACAAAAATTTTCCAGTATGCCATGAAAATGAAGCACAAACATAGTGGTGATATAAAATTTATTGTAAAATGCCGCGGGTGCTGGGACAAAGTTGATTCCCCTCTTGACTTTGAACAATTCAAGGTTATTTTTCGATCGTTTCTAAATTTGAAGAATATTCTAGAAAATGGTTGAAGCTTATGGGGATGAACAAGAACCCGTCATTCTCGAAAGAACACATTTTCAGCCAAGCTGGCGTAGAGGGGAAGTTACAAGCAGATCACAAAAAAGGTATCATATATTTATAATTATTATCAATTTAAAAATTTAGACGATATGCGCCAATATACGACAAGGGAATAGTTGATGCTAATTTTGATTGTTATCCATATGGTTACAGAGGCGAACCACTTATTGATCCAACCGAATAAAATATTTTGAATAAATTTAAAAATTTTTAAATTATTGTTTAATACAAAAAAATATTTTTTTAATTTTACAATTAAAATTTACTTTCAGATTTGATTACCTAATTACAGATTTGTTTTTTATTAATTATTCAAATGGCTGACAATTTAGGTAAATTAATCTTCCCATTTAAATAATAATTAAACGTTAAGAACTCACTACAGTGATGGTAGAGAAATTAGCAATAAATTCCAACAGCATAAAGACTACACCGCTTATCAACCTTCTCTGTGACTTCAATGGAGGATGCGTACCAGAAATGCTTAATTGTGAAATACGAAATAATTACAGCGAAAATTTGCAATTTATAAAATCTCTAACAACTATGTCTATTGAAGATGTTAAGAAAGTCGGAGTTGGACAAAAGGAATTTAATGAAAGCAGTGTAACTCCTGGAAAGCGATGTCTAATAACAAACCATCTTAAAAATCGCTTTATTGAAGTGTATCCCAAAAAGTTTACGGAAATGGGATCAGATCGAATGTTTGCTCTTCGCGGATATTTATCAATAACAATTCGGTATTTTATTTATTCGATTTTATGTATTTTAAGGCAATTTTATTATGTTCGACACCGTGTCAATCTGGTTTATCCTCATCTTCCTCTTGTGTGTGTTTCGGGTGGTGGAAAGCATGAATACTATTACCCAATTGAGTGCTTGGACTTTGTTGAAATCGATAAATAATCAGGAAATTAATTTTAATGCGTATACTTAGAATAAATATTTTTTTAAAAAATTATTTCAAACAAAAAATGTTTTATACATTTCTATCTATATTGATTATTAATGAATGTTTTCAGTTTCAGAATCACTATGATCAGTGACGTAAATCTTGGTAAACATTTAGATTGAAAATTTATAAAAAATAATTTAAGAAACAACTTCACTTATGCTTGAACGCCTTAACTTGAAGCATGAAGGCTTATAAATATTTATTAGGCGAGAAAATATTTAAATTATTTATGACAACTACTCCCGATTTAAATACGTTTTTCCATGTTTTTTGTAAAATTTTTGTTTATTTTGTTTAATTTTTACACTAAAAAATATAAACAATGCTTGAAGGGTTAAAGATTAAAAAAAGGAAAATTCTGGAAGGAAAATTACCGTATTTCCTAAAATAGTACTCCCGGGAGTACTATTTTTCAACCCTCCTCCAAAGGGGAGTACTATTTAAGGGGGGAGTACTAATTCAGGGGGGAGTACTATTTTTCAACCCTTTTTTCATTTATCATAAGAAAATTTATTTCAAAATTCTAAATCAATTTGAGTTCGTTATCTGAAAAATGCCTGATCCGACCCGGATTTTCAAAAAATTTAATTATTAAAAGCTCTCAAAAAATATTCAAATTATTATAAAATTGAGCAAATTTCGGGACATTTAAACACAAGTGACATAAAATAAGGGGTATTGAGGAAAATCAAGAAGGATATTAGTTAATTTGGAGTGATATTGAGGAGTATAAGGGGATTTAATCGATTAAGGGTAGATATCTAAATTTACCACTATATCCATCTTGAACTCCCGACCAGTTAATACACTTGTATGTGTCAAATTCCCTAGATATCCTTCAAAAACACTGATATCCCCCTTAATCTTTTCAGACTCATAATCTTACGAATCCGCATATATCCGCCGATATTATTCAATGTCACTGAGAAATTGATGTACCTAATCGCTGTGTCCAGGGATTTATCAGCATTAATCACCGTTATCCTCCACATCTCTTTTTCTTCGAATATCCTTACGAATTCTAGGATATCCATATTTAGGCGTGATAACAAGTAGGGTTTCGTCCCGAACGCTCGGGAATGAGTGCGTCCCGAACACTCATCCTTAATTTTTCTCTCAAATTCCTTTATCAAACCATACTACTTGATCTAGTTAGAGATGAACTAGGGGAATTGGAACTTTTAGACCCCACTTGATCAATCCAGAACATATTATAGGTTAAAATTTCAGTTCGTTTTCGGTAAGCGAAAACTGTCCGGTTTCGGTTATCGAAGAATCAAGTGAAACCGACAACCCTAATCAGAATAAATAAAATAATTCAATAAGTAAATTTCAATAGAATAATTCAATGTTTCTTTTATGATTTTTTTCAAATATAGGGGAAAAATATTTTAGGGGGGAGTACTATTTTAGGGGGAGTACTATTTAAGGGGGGAGTACTATTTTTCAACCCTCCTCCAAAGGGGAGTATTATTTAAGGGGGGAGTACTAATTCAGGGGGGAGTACTATTTTAGGAAATACGGTACATTAATAAATAAAAGGAAATTAAATTAGAAAATTAAAAAAGTAAAATTAAGAAATGACTAATAGATTGATTTTATTTTTTGGTGTGGGTTTATTAACTTTGTGCCGCTTTTAATTGGCTTGGAATTAGACTTATCTTATATTACAATTTCAAAAATATTTTGAATACGTACGTGCTGCTTTGTAAATGTTCTCACCCGTCCGATCTGGCAAGTTAGGCAACGATGGTTTAATTTTTAAATTCCCCCTAAACCTATTGAAAAATAATTGTAGAAAATTTTTGAGGCGCTAAATTCCCTTAAACCTATTGAAAAATAATTGTGAGAATTTTTGTGCCTGTTTTAAGACAAAATTTTTGTCTTAAAAATGGTACATATACTACTCAAACATAAGGTTTGTATGAGTTGGAATTTTTACTTGACAGAATACCTTTACCTTTAGAAAATAATTTTCATAAAATCTTTTTAATTAATTCTTTTACCAATTTGTTTTCCGTTTTGTGTAAAGAAAATATAAGGGAATTTATAATTAATTTTGTTACTTGGAGGATAAACTAATCCACAACCAAAAATATCATTATTATTGAAGAAAAGTGTTGAAAGTTTAAATTCTTCATCTTTCTCGTTATAAATTGTTGCAAACTTTGCTTTGTAACAAACACATTTATTTAAATTTAAATTTATAAGGCCAATATTTATCAATATTTTTCCACTATTTACTAACTCTCCTTCAAATTTACATTTAATTTCAAAATAATATAAAGAATAATTGAGACAATTTTGTGGTTTTTTGAATGAATTTTCTGCAGAAACTTCAACAATTTTATCAAAACCTAAAAAATTATTTAGAAAAATTAAAAATTCAAAAATAATTTACCTCCCTCCAAACAATTAATATATTTAATATTTTCATCATTAATTAAATTTCCAAATCCATTTCCTTTAATACAATTTCCAACAGGTTTCTTCATACTACAATTATTTTCACAACAATTGTATCCACCACCACTAATTCTACTCCATTTATTTTTAATTTTAACAAAATTCTTTTAAAAAATTATCTAATAATTTTAAATTTATTACAAACTAACCACACATTTACAATTCAAATTATTTAATTTAATTGTTAAATCCCCAATCTTTAAAAGAAAAAAAATCAAAATAATATTTTTATTTATTTACTTTTTTAATTTCTTTTTCCAAAAAATTAATCTTCACATCTTTCTTCTTTAAATAATAACCATTTTCAGCCTTTAATTTTTTATAATTTTCTTCAATTAATTTTTGAAAATTTTGTTTAATCTCCTTAATTTCCTTTTGATGATTAAATTGAATTTTCTAAATTTTATTTAAAAATATTTTTAAATTCAACAAACTTTTAATTTATTTTCTAAATTTAAATTCTTTTCCTTCTCTTCAATAAATTTTATTTGTAAATTGTTAAAATTATTTTGAAGTTTAATTAAATTATTGCTTTGCTTTTCAACCAAAGTCCAAACAGAATTTAATGATTCTCCTTTAGACATTTTGTAAAGAATTTTTTAAAATAAAAATATTTTAAAGTAAAAAAGAATTTTATTTTATATAAAAATATTAAACAAAATTGTGAGAGAAATTAACAATTATTTGAAAGTTTTATTGTGAATAATTAATTAGAAAATATGTTTATGTAAGGATGATTCACCTAGAGCATTTAAAACGCTTAGGCGGGGGTTATCTAAAAGAATAAAAGAGAAAGCATTAGTCAATGCTCAAGTAGCTCAGTTGTAAAGCAGGGGTGTGCCGAAAGTGATTTTAAAAAGCGAAAGGCGAAAATGCGAAAGTCATTTTAAAAAGCGAACGGCGAAAGGCGAAAGACGAAAGTCCAAAAAAGGCGAAAATCGGCGAAAGGCGAAAGACGAAAGGCGAAATTTTTCAGTCTCAGCTATGTCTTGAGATCCTTTGGTAAAATAATTCAAAAGCCTTGTAAAGTGTTCCAAATCTACAGATAACTTTCTTAAATCAATTAATCGGAGACAGACCTGGGCGAAACTCAAAATTTTTTTCTGACGAAACGAAACGAAACAAAATTTTTTAAAAATCGTTTCGTTAACGAAACGAAACGAAACAACCAAAATCTTACGAAACGAAACGAAACAAAACGAAACATTTTAATATTCAAAAAATTTTCAAAACTGCATTTATTTCGCAATTATTCGACCTCATATACTTTATTAGTCGCCTATGACTCATAAATGATTTAGTTATTGGTTTATTTACAACAATTGTGTCCCATAAGCCAGGTCCGTAGCAAGGAAAATTTTCGGGGAAGGGGGGGGGGATCAATCGTTTTCGGAGCCGAATTTTTGGCGACGCTTTTTTTAAATTTAAAATTGAATATTTTTCAACTAAAATTTTATTTTAAGCGCCGCAGACGAAAAATTTTAAAATTTTGAAAAAAATTTTAAAATTTTCAATTATAAATGGATTTGGGGAAATAACAGAGGTATTGAGGGAATTTAGGATTAACAGAGTTATCGATGTGAGTAATGAGTTATTTGGGGAATTAATAGAGACATAGGGTATTATTTTACATTTAAAATTGGTGGATTAAGGGCTACGGGTTGGGAATTACAAGAGATATTGAGGGATTTATTGATTAATCCCCTATATCCCCTCTAATCCCAAAATCCTTCAAGGGCGTATCCAGGGGGTTAGCTTCAGGGGGGCATGTGAGTTTTTACAATTGTTTACAACTCTTTCTCTCTTAGCGCCGCAGGCGAAAATTTTGTAAATTTTGAAGGTCCTTAAGCTAGATTTCTTCCATTTCCTGCGCCGCAGGCGAAACTTTTGAGAATTTTAGAAGGCCGTAGGCCAAAAAATTAACTTTTTCAGCGCCGCAGGCGAGAATTTTGACAATTTGGGAAGGCCAAGCAGCCGAAATTCTTCTTTTTTTCAGCGCCGCAGGCGAAAATTTTTTTAATTTTCAATAAAAAATGGTAAATTTTATAGATTTTGGCCTTAGTTTGGGCTTAAAAAATTGTTTCGTTTCGTTGAAAAATCACAGGTGTTTCGTAACGAAACGAAACGAAACAAATTAAAAAGTGTTTCGTGACGAAACGAAACGATACTCAAAAAAACCCACGAAACATACGAAACAACGAAACGAAACGAAACGTTTCGCCCACGTCTGATCGGAGATATCAAAAAATTTGTAGGATTAAGAAGGATATCACAAGAGTTGGAAAAATATCGGGTATTTAAAGGGAAGTCAAAGGATATGTCAAGAAAATTTGAATTTGATTTTTTATTTTCCGATCTCTAGACTTCTCCCTTCGTTGTCGTGAAAAGAGTCTGAGAACCTGGGAAATCCATGGATCGGATGCCGAATAGGACTGTGATTGAAAATAAACTGTATTAACCTTTTTCAGTTTCCGGTGACGACTGTTTCCGGCGACGACTGTGATTTTTTTTAAGTTTCCGGCGACGACTGTGATTGAAAATAAACTGTATTAACCTTTTTCAGCGCCGCAGGCAAAAATTTTGAGAATTTTGGAAGCCCTAGCAGCCAGATTTCTTCGTTTTTCAGCGCCGCAGGCAAAAATATTGAGAATTTTGGAAGCCCTAGCAGCCCGACTTGATCATCTTTCAGCGCCGCAAACAAAATTTTCGAAAATATACGGTGTCTAATGCACAGAAAATTCAATTTTTAAATTAAAAAAACAATTTTTTCAAAGAAAATGATAACTAATGTATTTTATTCATGAAAGAATTAAAGTCTTGCCTCATATCTTCGACTCAAACTTATCAATAAGTAAATGATCGTTAGTTGAAGTCAAACAACTTAACCACTCAACCATCCATGACTTAAAGACAAACAAAAGAAAATTATATATGTCGGCGGTAAAATTCAGATTTAGGAAAAATTCAATTTTTCCGGAAAATTTCATTTTTTCCGGAAAAATTCAATTTTTCCGAGCATTTAGGAAAATTTCAGATATTAAATTAATTTAATAGTCTGTCTTACACTATTTCGCTTGTTTTTCGTTTTTGAGTATGTTTTTTCTTGTTTGTTTCTCTTTTGTTTTATGTTTGTTTTTTTGATTGTTTGTCTTTTTTAAGATTTTCCCTTGTTTTTATTTTTTAATTTGGTTTTTAGTTCGTGTTTTTTAATTTTTGTGCTACAACTGAATGGGTAGGTCGGCATTTCAATGCTGAAAATCGGTAAAAGGAATAGGATTATGTTACTAGTGCAGAACCCAGCGACCGTTGACTCCCGCGAGACGCGTGCCGCGAAACCCCGCGCGAAGCGCGGGGTTTCGCACAAGCGTCTCGCCGACTCCCCATAGGTTTATGTTGTTTTTTTTATTTAAAAAAAAATCCAAACTTATTTTACATGGTTATCTTGACTAAATCAGGAAATTTAAAGATAGCCCAGAAAAATCAAAAACAAACATAAAAAACACAAACAACACCGAAAAAACAAAAAACTAGACCAGACTCAACTGACAACTTTATTACTATCTGAAATTTTCCTAAATGCTCGGAAAAATTGAATTTTTCCGGAAAAATTGAAATTTTCCGGAAAAATTGAATTTTTCCTAAATCTGAATTTTTCCGCCGACATATATACTATTCCCTACTCGTCTCAGTTTTTAACCTTATTTTCTTCTCCTAATTTTTCCTCTCCCAATTTTTCCTTCTCACAACTTTTCCTCACATGCCGTCATTAGGGGTGTATAATAATTTCGCCTTTCGCCCGAAAAAGCGAACGGCGAAAGGCGAAAGACGAAAGTCAAAAAAAGGCGAAAATCGGCGAAAGGCGAAAGACGAAAGGCGAAACTCGCACACCCCTGTTGTAAAGCTCCTATAAGAAATGAGCGGAAGCGCTTAGCAATAACTACGAGGAGGTCGCAGGTTCAATCCTGCCCGATGGCTAAACTTTTGCTAAACTCTTTCGTTTACTCCCCTTTCTTACCCGCTCATTTTCTTTAATTAATTCTATTATAATTCTAAAACTTTTAAAATATTTTTTTAAATTTTCGTCATATATTTTGCAAGGGTTACTTTTATGAAAACTTTTTTAAAGTAAGAATAAAAATGCCAGGTCAAAAATTAATAAAAATTAATTATTTAATCATACAAAAATTTATATAAAATAAAAACAAAAAATAAATTTTAATTTTAAAGGAGAAATAAAAAAATATTTTGATTTGTTTATAGAAAATTGGTCTTTGTTAGATCCACATTTTTCATTTGCTCTCAAAAATAGCGAAATCTCTTTTGTTTAGTTTTTGTTAATTTTGTTGAAGAAATAATTTTTTATATGTTAAAACAAAAATGTCAAAAATTATAGTTTTTTGTTTATTTTGTATCAAAAATGCTATGTAATATTTAATCAAATTTGGAATTTTATATAAGATTTAGTATAAAGGAAATTAAAGGAAATTTAGAAAAATATACAAATTTATCTAAAATTCAAAAGATTTAAAATTGATAATTTTAATTGTAAATCAAAACAAATAAATTCAAAAACAAAATCAATCAAAAAAATTTCAATAAAATTCCGTAATTGAATGTTTTGAAATGTCATATCTAAATGGTTTAGTCTCCAAATCGTTTCCAAAATTTGCTTCAACAGAACAACAACTCAGAAGAACATAAGGCTTATACGAGCTAGAATTCTCCTTTAATAATATACCTTTCCCTTTAAAAAACAAAATTTATTAATTTTAATTAAATAAAAGACTTGGACATGGACACTAGGGCTGTTCGCAAGTGAAAAAATTTCCGTAGCCGCAGTCCGCAAGTCCAAAAAACCACGAAATTTACGCAATCCACAATTGCGTACAGCCCTGATAGACACAGATTTTGGTAGCTTTTGAAGCATATTCATTCCTGTGTATCCCAATAATACCCCTATCCTTCCAAGTTTCTTTTAAATATTTACCAATTTGTTTTCCATTTTGAGTGAAGAAAATATATGGAAATTCATTAGTCATATTAGTTTCAGGATAAACTAATCCACAACCAAAAGTATAAAAATTCTTCCAAAATAGCGTCTGTGGAAGTTTAAATTCTTCATTCTTCTCATTCGAAATTAAATTATTTTTAGCGATATATTTAATTCTCGAATTTGTATTACAATTTTTAAGACCAATAACCATCCATTTTCCATTATTATTTACAAATTCTCCCTCAAAAATACATTTAATTTCAAAATAAAATAAAGAATAATTAGAAGATTTTTGGGAGCTGTTAAAAGAATTTTCTGCAGAAACAACAACTCTTTTATCATAACCTAAAAATATTTTTAACAAAATTTTTTTTTAAAAATCCCAATACTTCCATCCAAAACATCCTTCTTCACACAATTAATATATTTAATATCCTCATCATTAATTAACTTTACAAATCCATTGCCTTTAATACAATTATTAGAAAGGTCGTCAGTATTTTCACTACATTTGTTGAAACAACAATTGTTTACAATAATCCATTTATTTTTAATTTTAACAAAATTCTTTTAAAAAATTAGGTATTTTAATTATTTTAATTACAAACTAACCACATATTTACAATTTAAATTGTTTAATTTATTTGTTAAATCATTTGCCTTTTAAATAAATTAATTAAATTTTAATCTTTATATTTTAATTAAAAATATTTTTTTATTAAAGGAAAGGAATATTTAGAATCATTTAATAGCAAGCTAACTTTTCTCAAAAATTATTTATATGGCTAGTACAATACTCGTCCGTTAATTGTCAAAACCACCAAATTAACTGGTCATGGTTTATGAACGGAAATAAATTGAATGCCTAATTGCTTCCATTAGACTAAAAAAGTCGAGAATAATCTCTCAAAATTCGGTGAATTTCTATTCAGTGAATTAATCCCAAATTTTATTGTCAACTTACATTCGCATTTTGTGTAGAAGCATTACTTGAACTTTGAATTAACTCATCATCGGAATCGTCAGAACTATCACCCGCTTCCTCAACAAAAAGTTGTTTAATATCGGTTAAGACAGCAGGAGCTCGACAACGAGGACAATCTTGTGACTGAAAGATGTTAAAAACAAATTAAAAAAATAAATTTCTTCCTTCACCCCTTCAGTAATCCAACGAGTAACACATTCTTTATGGAATGTGTGATTACAATTTTTTAATGTATAAACATTATCAGGACGCAAACGAAATTGGCAAACAGTACAACGACCAAATTTGTAATAAACCATTTTTAGATTCTAAAAATATTGAAAAAAGCTTAAAAATTTACAAGTTTCATTTTATAAAAGGAGTGCTTCAACCGGGACCCTTTAAAAATATATTCCCTAATAAATCATCTTTTAACACAAAAAAGTTAAATTTAAAATTGAGTTTTTCTTTTTTTTAAATAATTGTGTATTATATATTGCCCAACATTTCATTTAAACTATCTTTAATATTATGTATAAAACTTTCAAACATTATATCATTAATATACATAAAGGTCAAATAATCTTTGTCTAATAAAACCTTTTATTTTTAAATATATGCTTTAGGTAAAAAAAGAATTAAAAAAATATTTTAAATATATTTATTTACTTGAAGCAAAAGTAAAGGAAGAAAGGGCACAAATGGGAGGAGTGAAAATGATAATATTTATAGCTTATTTTATGTTAGAATTATTTATTCTCATTTGATATTTTAAACGTTAATTTCATTTGTAATTGAGTTCCCAACTTTGACTATAATTAAAGTAAGGCCAGATTGAGATTTTTGGAAGGATCTATCAATTATTGTCTGTCACTAAAAGGAAATTCTATTTAAAAACTCCAATTGTTTCCAATCCCTTGCAAAGAATTTTTAAAATTTAAGAAAATATTTTTCAACACCTAGGATATACCGAGTTTAAAATATCGCTTAAATAGCTCCCTCCCCGGTTATGGTAATTTCGAATTCCGTACATTTTTTACTTCCTCAAGTTACAAAATGATCCAATTTTGATCCTTCCTAAATTCACTTTATTTTCCTGTGGTTTGATGGTGTAAGAAAAGAATTTAAAATCTTCATTAAAAACTTCAAGTAAAGCAAACCAATAAAAGTTTGAGTCAAAGCTAAATATCGATGTTACGAAATCTGGCGCTGTACATAAAAAAATTTCGCGCAGACGGGGCACTAATAAACAGATTATTAATGTTTTCAAATATCACACAGGAAATAAAGTGGAATTTAGGAAGGAAAAATTAAATTGAAAAAATTATTTTAAAGTTTATCTTAAAGAAAAGTTAAACTATTTTTATTTAGGAAATTTAAAAAATTAAATAACCCATTAAGCCAAAAATGGTCAACTACAAATACGAACGTTGTTCTGTTTGCTTTAAAAGTTTGACTAATGAAAGTGCTCATACTTTAACAACTTGTAATCATCAATACCATAAAAAGTGTATTACAAATTGGATTTCTGGAGGGGTGAGGAAATTGTTTTTTAGAATAATTTTAAAATAAATTATGAGAGTTTAATTGAATACACCTTGTAAAGTCCATAAGGAGACTTAAAATATTCAAAATTAAAAAATCTAATTTTTAGGCTGAACACTGTCCTCGATGCCGAACTCATGCTACTTTGATTGATATTAAGGCACTTCATGTTGAACAAGCCGATAACGATGATGGCGATTCTGATAATGAATTGACTCAAAGTACAAGTAATATGACTATACAAGATCCGGCTGTAAGTTAATGATTATGTTAAGGTTTAATTTTCCGAAATTCACCAAATTTTTTGTTTTGAGATTATTCTCAAGTATTAACAATCAAAAAGGGATAAACATTCTTAGTCTAAAATTAATTATCAAAGATGGGAAAAATTAAGACAATTTCAAAGTTTCAAAAGTTGAAAAGTTTTGAAATTTTAGAAAGTAGTGTAAAATGTTCATTAGGTGAAATCAACTTTTTTTTAAAAAAAATAATTATTGAGCTAAATTGGAAGGTGGATCTTTGTAAGTATGTTGGAGTAAATGGGGGTTTAATTTTTAAATTTAACATTTAAATAAAAAAAGTAACTTGTATTATGTATTGTTTTTAACATTTAAAATTAATTTTTCAGCTGCAAGACAATAAGATCAATGTTATTATTCGAGATTTGACTAATCACAAAATTAGTATTAATGATCTTGCGGTAAATGTTCTATTAAAAAATCTAAAATAAAATTCATTTCAAGAGGTGGGCCAGGTTTTTGGCTCGTCTGATAATTTATTTTAAGTTAGTAGAGTTTTGACTATCGGTGCTTCAAGACTATCAGTGATTCTAATTTCTTAGTATTTTTCTGTTGCAGAAAAGCTGACAAAATTGTCAGAAAAGTTTTCGACAATTTTGCATCTTATGAGAATGAAAAAAGTAGGAGCCATAAATCTCTTAGATAATCAGCTATTGCACGACTTTGAAACACAATAAACATAAATCGAAATAGAAATTAAAAAAGAAAATTACCACATTCATTGACCTTATTTTAATTCAAAATTTAAGATTACTACTAAAATTGTGGAAGTAAAACGAAGAATTGAACAAATTAATGGTGTGCATGCTGAACAGCAAAGCTGGGTAGGAGAATAATTTTTTAGGCCAAAAATTAAAAAATTTTTCATAGGCGAATGCCAACTAAGTAAGCCCACCCAAATTGACCCTTTGAAAAATAGTTTATTGTAAATAAAGTTTAACTCATATTCGGATGGTAAACCTCAAAAATGTTGAAAAAGCACTTATTCCTCATTTTTTCTAGGGAGATAAAAACGAGAAAATTAAATCCACTGTTATACTGTTAACTAGGGTTTCACCGGAGCCGAAATTTTGCCTGGAACCGGAACTTTTTCTTGGTTGGAACTTTAAAAAATTTTGCTAGCAACTTTAAAAAATATGTATTTGAAGTATTGAAAGGCCAAATTCCCAGAATCCAGCCCCTGATATCTACCTTACCACCTTAATCCATCCAAATCCTCCGATATACCACAAGAAGTCAAGTCCAACCGAGGGAATACTGCACTGACGACCCATATTCAAAAAAAACAAATCCTTAGGAGTGTAAAAAAGTTCATGTTTGCCCGGAACCTATTTGTAAGCCGGGACCGGATCCAATTTGAGTTCTGGTTCCCGGGACTGGAACCAAAAAAAGACCGGAACTTTCCGGAACCGGAACTTTCGGTGAAGCTCTAATGTTAACCCCCGTTATTTCTTTAAATCTCTTAATTTCTCCACGTCTACTTAATGAAAATAGAAGTATTCGTTTCGCTCTGAGCAAAAATTTCTTAAATATTTTTAAAACTTTTTTTCACGTTTGTTTTGTGTTCTCGAATAGTAACAAATCTATTTTTTAATATTTCTAGACGTATCGAGGCATTCCGCTGGAAAACGATCGTATGTTTTGAATAACTCGATTTTATGTACATCCAATATTACGCACAAATCTTTTCTGTCTAAGAGTACATAAAATCTTAATTAAATTTTATAAGAAAAAATTTTTTTAACAAAATAAAATATAGGTACACTAAAAGATTACGACATTGTGGAAAGTCATAAAATTATAGATGCGTTACTGCGTTGGGAAGGCGGAAAAATGTAAATTTTGAAAAATTGAGATGAATGGTATTTAATTATTTGGATTTGAAAATTTGGCACTACTTAAGATCAGAGTGCTATGTGCCTTTTTCCGGTAAATATGTAAAAAATGGTCGAGCTGTGTCGAATGACACTAAGATCAAAAAAATCCGACTATTTGACTGAGATACAGACCCCTGAAAATTGAAAAATCAGGGTGATTTTTTGGAATACAAAAAGTTTATGAAAATGATAGCTCATTCGAAAGTGCTCATCGAGCTAAGTCGAATGACGCCAAAATCAACGTGATTGGACAAACCATTTGTCCTTATGGTTTTTCGCAAATATGATTTTTCAATTTTCAGGGGTCAAGTTTTTAGTTGTCGGATTTTTTTTTGATTTTAGTGTCATTCGACACTTTACCGAAAAAAGGCACATAGCATCCTGATCTTAAGTATTGCCGAAAATTTTTAAGAAATTTGTTAACAAAAATATTTTTCTTGGTCAAAAAATATTTTTAGTTGTTAGTTAGACTGTTGGCAAGATTTTTAATTGGTTAGTCCATGTATAGGTGGAGCTGTTTAAGCGATATCCCCAAATAATGGATATTCTAATTTAAGATAAATTAGGTATTGATTGCTCAGTTATAACTAATGGGTAATAGTTTGGAATTCGCCCCCCTTTTTTCACTGTTTCCCTGACCATTTTGAGCTTTTTTGTTTGATACATAATTTATCATATATCATTCGACCACGCTCTTCGAGCGTGGTCGAATGATACCATGATTGGCCAGATCTGATCAATCTTACCAAAATTATGAAGCTAAATCCTAGTTTGGGCAAACTTTTTGTGTCAATGCAAGGGGATAAAATAAACGGTCACAACTTTGTTCACTTAAGTCGGATTTCGTTGATCTTAACGTCATTCGACTCAGCTTGAAGAGCTCTTTCGAATGATATATAATTTGCCATAAAATGAAAAAAAAACTTAGAAAAAATAGAAAGGAAAAAGGGGGGGGCGAATTCCAAACTATTACCAACTAATGTTGCAAAAAAGGATATCTAACGGCTAGATAACAATTAAAAATATTTTTTTAATTTTCTTTAAATTCTAAAAATATGTATAATCACCAAAAATACTCGATATTACAATAACCAAAAATTGTTTTTAACTAAATAATCACCAATTTAATTTTTAACTTTAATTTTCAAAATGTTTTTTTAAAAATTACGAATTTGTATTTTCTTTTAAATTTGCAACAAAACATTAATATTTTAAGGTAAAAATATAGAAATCATGGCTTTACTTCCTCCAATTTCGATAAATATGTATATTGAAAAAAACCCGGGATTTAGTACTAGGAAAAATTTTTTAATTTTTAAGATGCTATAGAGGAGGACATTTATGATATTTGAAAATATATGAAAAAATAAAATTTTTCCAAAAACTCATCAAACAAATATTTGATCAAATATTTGATTTTCCGACGTCAAATATTTGTTTCGTCCGATCTCTAATACGTTCCATCACCAATGGCACTGAAATCAATTAAATCTGACTTAAGACGTCACGAAAAGTTAGTTACCAATTTAATCAATCCAGATAAGTCCGAAATCTGGATTGATTAAATTGGTCAAGGAGAGATGAAGTGGTTAAGGGCAATATTGGTGGATTTTGAGATTAAAGAGGATTAAGGGGATATCTTCTGGATATCAGTAGATGGATATCGAGGATATCAGAAGATCCTCTCAATACAGCTAAATCCCTCTATCCTTTTAAACCTCCAAATCATCGATAACACCTTTAATCTTCTTTATCTCCTTTAAACCTTCAAATCCACTGATATTCACCTTAATTCCTCTAGTCACTCTACCTCATTTAATCCTCCTATTAAACATGAGAATCCTCCTATTAAACATATCTTAATAGGCGAAACAAAAACGATTAAAATGCTAAACTCATTTCAAAAAGCAAAACATGAAACACAAAAAGGCAAGAATAAGGCGGAAGATGAAACATGACAAGTCGAAATAACTGTATTGAGGGGATATCTATTTCGATCGGCCAAGAAAGCCATAGGTAACTACCTAATTGCAATACTTTAATCAAACTTTACAAATCCCTCGATATTTTTCTTAATTCTTAAATCATTGATATAAGAGGATTTAGCTGGAATAAAAAAGATATAAGAGAATGTTGAAGGAAAAATTTCAATTTGATTATTTTTCCGATCTCTAGAATCTCATCTCGTTGGTTGTGAATATGGATGATATTGAAATCCCTAGGTACTGGAAATCCTTGTTTAATTTTTGCCCAAAAGTAAACGAGAAATAACATCATCAAATTAGTTCAAGTTAAAATACGTCGATGTTAAAATAGGTCGAGTTCAACCTTGAAACTGGGGTCGATGTCCTATTTGTGACTTGTTGTATTTAATAATTTATTTAAATACTATATAGTTATTTACTCTTTTTTTACCTAAAGCATGTATTTAAAAAAAGGTTTTATTAGACAAAGATTATTTGACCTATTTATTAATGGTAGTATAATGCTTGGAAATTTGACCTTTATTATAGAACGATAGTTTAATTGCTATGTATGTTAGGCAATAAACAAGGTCCAGACAAAATAAAGTTAGAAAAACACGGTATTAGTTCAAGCAAAAGGGGAAGGCTTTGACAATCATTAATGGGAGTAAAATAAATTTAAAAACTACCTATTTATAAAACCTTTTTTTGTAAGAATTATTCATATTTGATATTTTAAAATTTCTTTTTATTTTTATCAAGTTCATTTTAGTAATCTTTGCGAAGTGAAAAATTTCTCTATATTATTAAAGAGTTTATTCTTTTGTCAAATTCCCTTTTTTTGGAATTTTAAAAATTAACATTTTAGAATCTAAAAATGGTTTATTACAAATTTGGACGTTGTACTGTTTGCCAATTTCGTTTGCGTTCAGATAATGTTTATACTTTAAAAAATTGTAATCACACATTCCATAAAGAATGTGTTACTAAATGGATTACTGAAGGGGTGAAGGAAGAAATTTTTAAATTTTAATAATTTCTCAGTCACAAGATTGTCCTCGCTGTCGAGAATCTGCTACTCTCAATGATATTAAACAACTTTTTGTTGAAGAAGCAGGTGATAGTTCTGACGATTCTGGTGATGAGTTAATTCAAAGTTCAAGCAATGTGACAACAAAAAATTCAACTGTAATTTAATAATAAAATTGAGTACCCCATTCGGTACTTCATTCGATGCCCCCATAGGTTTAATTGTTTTTTTTCAGGGTTCGGATCTATTTGCAAGTACGTTAAGTACGTACTTGCAAATATGTACATTTTTAATTTTGGAAGTACAAGGGTCCAAAATATGACGAATCCGAACCCTGGTTTATTTTCTATCTTACTCCAAACTTGTTTAATCAAGCTGCTTTATGTTATCGACTTAGCTTGATGAACTCTTTCGAATGATACTAAACTATATCTTACACTACACTATAGCCAAAACTTTAAAATTAAAATATTAAAAAAATATATATATGTATATGTATAATTAAATTTAATTTATATAAAAAGGCAAATAATTCATTTAACAAAGAAAATGATGATTTAACAGTAAAATTGAATAATATGTCTTGTAATAGTAAATGTGTGGTGGTTAGTTTAAAAATTTTATTAAATGAGTAATTTTTTAAAAGAATTTTGTTCAAATTAAAAATAAATGGAGTGAGATTGATGCTGGATACAATTGTTGTAAAAATAATTGTTTAAATACAAAGAAACTTATTGGGAATTGTAATGAAGGAAATGGATTTGTGAATTTAATTGATGATGAAAATGTTAAATATATTAAATATCAGAGGGGGAGTGGAGGTAAATTAATTGAATTTTTGGTTTTAAAAATATTTTTAGGTTTTGATAAAATTGTGCTTGTTTATGCAGAAAATTCATTTAATAGACCCGAAAGTTGTTTTGATTATTCTTTATATTATTTTGAAATTAAATGTAAAAGAGAATTCGCTGAAGATGAGTTATATGATTCCAAAATATGGATGTTTATTGGTCTTAAAAATAGTAATACAAATGATTATATTTTTTATTCTGTAAAGGATTCTATAATTAGAAACAAAAAAGATGGAGAATTTAAACTTTCAAATTTTAATACGAATGATGACGATATTTTTGGGTGTGGACTAGTTTATCCACCAAATAATAAAGAACTTCCTTATATTTTCTTTACACAAAATGGAGAACAAATTGGTAAATATTTAAAAATATATTTATAGAAATTTTTTTATAGGTAAAAGAATATTATTGAAAGATATTTTCGACTCATATAAACCATATGTTAAACTGAAATGTTATTCGGTAGAAGCTAATTTTGGAAGTGATTTGGAGACTAAACCATTTATTTATGAAATTTCAGAACATTTAACAAAAGAATTTCATTAAAAATTTCTTTGATTAATTTAATCTATTTGTTTTGATATATGTTACTTTTTATCATTTATAACCACTTTTTAAGTTACTGATTTATTAAAAATTTCCAAGAATAAAGGTACGAAATTTAACAAATCTTTAATAAAATCTGTTAAAATATTCCGAAAGTCATTCATTCAAGAGATAGATCCTCAAATCTCTAAAAAAATCCTTAAAGTGAATATATATTAGCGCCTTTGGGATGTGTAAGAATTCCTTCTTTTATTGAACAACAAAAATTGCAAGTCTTCGAATTTTAACTCCTGGGCTGGTATTTAAACAAATATTTGGTTCATTTTGATCAGATCATTGGAAATATTGGATTTTTAATACATTTTTAATTTTACTTATACATCAAAATTTTCTGATTTATAATTTTTATATTCTTTTTTGGTTTCATTTCTTAAAAATAAAAATTATTTTTTCGTTTTGTAAATTTTATTTTCGTGCATTTCTGCACCCAACACAAACAAATTTAAAAAAATATGACAATACCGAGCTTCGTCCCCTTCTTTCTATTTTTTCTTAAGATGTATATATATATAATGATCAAAAATTACGGACATTCTTCAATCCAAAATTTCAATTTATTACTCTGTATATCACGGCTGGACACAATTGCGGATTGCGTGAAATTGCGTGTTTTTTTACCTGCAGACTGTGGGTTGCGGATTTTAAAATAAAATTTCGGGCTCATTTGTGCCCAGCCCTGCTGTAGTCAATAAATTAGTAAAATAGAAACAAGCGTTTTATAAGGTTAATAAATATTTTCATTATTAATGTCCATGGGGAAATGGAGCAAAAAATGAGGACGAAACCCGTTATCTCCGATCCATCTTAGATTGGGTGTACATATCAGATTTATCTTATAACTAGTGCTCCAATAGGTTACATTGCATATTTCCGCGTCCATTCACGAGCTGTATCATTATATTTAACACGATCAGTTCTGTACAATTTGAGAGCATCAGCATTCAGTCCATGGGCTGGGTTTGGATTGCCTAGCAAAGAACAGATTGAAAGAAGAACTGAAAAACGAAAAATTTATTTATTAGATAGTGAAAAAAAATAATTTTGCGTTCCAAGTAAACCGGAACAACTAATGAGTATCGGTTAGGTTATTCGGTTATCCGTGTACAATAGACGGTGTTCTGCAAGGACCATTATTTATAAGTTGTAAGAAGAAATTTTATATTTGTTTTTCCAATAATTCGTAAAATTCACCTTATAAACTCAGTTTTTAGATTTAAACTAGGGTTGTTGGCGGACGGTTAACCGAACCGGAACCGTTAACCGGTGTTTTTGGCGAATTAACCGGAAAAAACGGAATTTCCTAATTATTAAGAATGGTTCTCTAATGTTATGAATCGAAAATGTGGTCCAGGGAAAATGTATGCCAACCGTTCAAACTCAATTGGAGTAATCCATCCAAAATTACCTTTAGAAATAGTTAAAGCTGGCGACCACTTTTTCTGAAGAATGTCCAAACAAATACCTCCATTATCGTTGATATTTGGATGATAAATTTTTGTCTTGAACCAGACTCTAGGTGGTTTAATTGGATACGCTTCTGGAAAGTTGATATTCAAGTAAAACACTCCTCCATCATATGGCGTAGTTGGCGGTCCAGTAATTGTAGCTTGCCAATTTAGATGATCATCACCAATTGGACCTGCATTACACAAAGATGGAGGTTCTTTTGTAAAGTCTAGAAACTCCTAAAAATAAGGTTTAAACTCGGTATAAGCACACACAAATCTCAATCAAACATAAAACAATTATGTATGTATATCACACTATCTATAATCAAATCTAAACCTTATGAATACGTTTAACTGCCATTTAAAGCAAAATTAATTTTAGATTAATGAAGAATAATATGTATAAATCTAAAAATACATTAAAAGTTTAATTTTGGCAATAACAATTCTTTTATGTGGAATTGTTGAAAATGTCAGTTAAAAAATTAAAAAAGAATTTTATATTAGAAAAGGATCTAGAAAAAGAAAAAGTTCACTGATTATATCCAGAGATTTAACATTATAATTAAATAATAAATTATTTTAACAGAACGTTAATTTAATAGTCAAAACAATTAAAGTGAACTTATTTATTAATTATTTTAAAGCAAAAATATTTTTAAAAATTGAAGAAATATAAAAGAATTCTGGACTATAAAAGTTGAAAATGAGAAGTTTAAATGGGGGTGTTTTTTAAAGTTTAAAAAAGAGGAATTTACATTAATTTGACCCAGACATTTTTATTAGCAAAATATCGTTTTTCTCCATAAAATATTTGAAAAATTAATGTCAACCCAGAATGTAACGAGGCAAGATAGAGAAAAGTTTATTAATTTTTAGAGGAAATTAAAGAAAAAATGTTTTTGAAAATTTTTTTGTAGCGTACTTATATTTTGAAAATTTTTCCCCCTATGTACTTCCAAACTGTTGACTTACACTTAACATTTTCTTGATCCGAACCCTGTTTTAATATAAAGGTCAACTTCCCAACCATTATACACATATGTGCAGGTCAAATTATCTTTGTTTAATAAAACACTTTATTTTTAAATATATGCTTTAGGTAAAAAAAGAGTAAATAAAAAATGAACTTAAATTTTAATACTTACAAATTTACTTTAAGCAAAAATGAAAGGAAGGTCAGGTCATAAAAAGGAGAAGTAAAAAATTAAAGAAACCAAATATTTATTGCTTTTTTCATTTAATATTTTAAAATTTCTTTCTTAAGTTTTATTTGAGTTCCATACTTAAGCTTAAATATACTCTAATAAAGCTCTTTATTTACAAATCGACCTTCGTAATTATCAAATCAAGAATGTACTTATTTGTGAATACGTACACTTATAAATAGACTTTTTGGTCACAAAATAAAATGTCCGTTCAAAATTATCGAAAAACGGAGAAATCTGTGCTTTTTTACCTTCCAAAACTCTTTGTGTAGATATGAGCGGGAATAAATTATTTAAATCCATTTTTGTAGTTTACTTTATATTTTATAATTCTTTTTACTACTTATAAATTAAACTTTTATTTAAAATACCTCTATTTTAACAAATTTTAATTTTTCTTTTAAATTTTTTCAATAAAAAAATTTTCTTCAAAATGGCTGAAGAAAGATCAGCAATTTTGGAATTAAACTTAATTAACCTTTCGAATAATTTTGTGGAACTTTATATAAAATTTAATGAAGAGAAGGAAAAGACTGTTAATTTTGAAAAAGAATTAAATGTAAATTTTGGGAAAAATATTTTTTTGAAAATTAATTTTAGAAAATTCATAAAATAAATTCTGATCATGAAAAAGAAATTAACAATTTAAAACAAAATATTGAACAATTAAAAGCTGAAAATAATCAAAAAGATGAGAAAATTAGTTCTTTGGAAGAAGAAATTAAAGAGGTGATTAATTAGATAGTAATTAAATTTTAATTATTTTTCAAATTAAAAGGAAATAAAAATCATAAAGAAGAAAATGAATGAGGTAAGGGAAAATTAAAATTATTTTTAAATTTTTGTACCTTTAGAGGTATAAATTAATATTTTCGAGTCTGATTTGAAAGGCAAAATTTACAAATAGAAAAATCTATTTTTATTTTCATTTCTAACATCTTCAGACACAAAACTGTCCTAAATGCCGAATTGATGCTACCTTGGATGACATTAAACAACTTCATGTTGAGGAAACAGATGACTGTTCTGATGAGGATGGTGATGGATTAACTCAAAATGAAGTTGATCATTAAAGAATAAATTTGATTTTTATTTCACCGAATAAAAAATTTCCAAGTTTTGAAATTATTTTCAAATTTTGATAAATAAAAAAAGAGCATTTTTGAAGGAGTATTTAATAGCAGTCGGAATTTTTATCAGTGCCATATTATGGATAGAAAAAAATAAGAATTTTATCGTTTGGTATTCCGTACCGATACGGAAAACCTAACATTGATGAATGATCAAGAAAATCATCGTGATCAACTAAAGTTTGTCCTTTATTCTTAAAAGTTTCTTCCGCGAATCCACATGATTTAAATAATCATTCAGCTCAAGAATTAACATCTGCAATTGTTACCAAAACACTAAAATGACAATAATAACTATAATTGGTATTATGTATGTATATATACTTTCCGGTGAACAAGTACTATAAAATTAATATTTCTTACAATTAGTGGATAAAATAAAAACATTACTTTTATTTCCGTAAAGAAAAGTAATGTTATAGTATTTTTTCCAGAAAGTTTTAAACTAAAATAGTCAACTTATATTTTCTATAAATTTATATGAATAAAAAGTTTAATAATATTTTACCGGCCAAACACAATAATCAAAATTCCCCAATTGTTGTTTTACTGGGACAATTGATTTCCGATGATCGTCAATAAGTTTTGAAGCTTTATCTGTTACAGTTTTAATTGTAGCTTTATCCACTATAGGATATAATTCAAAAGGATCTTTGTCGAAATCGTATATCAAAGGGGGGTCGTGCTTGGTAAGCTCTTTGTCTGGACATAAAATGCTCACAAACCTTAATATTTTTATTTATTGATGTCATAATTCTCTCAAATATTTAATTAAAATCGAATTACAATTCTTTTTTAGGCTTCCCTCCGGGACAGTTTTCCCGAACAAAAGAATCGTTATCTCTGAAGATCAATTGAGTCATATAATGAACCTGCAAGTTTAAAGTGAATATAAATAATCAGTAATGCTAGGCAACGTGCGAATACGAGGATTATTCAAGATCCGATCCATCCCAACCCTCAAGTTTGGAATGAATGCATAATCCAAAATCCCGGTGCCGTATTCTAAATTCATCTTCAGACTCACTTTATACTTCCCTGTTCTAATACCCAAAAGTTTTTCGTTACAATAAAAGAATATTGGCCGTCGTTCAATTAACGACATATTATTATTTGCAACAGAAAATCCTAAAAGTTGGGGCCAAATATCAATTCCATCCATTTTTCTTTTTTCTTGTTTTGTTGGAGGTACATAGAAAACATTTCTAGCTTTTCCAGTTGAAGCTAATCTTTCAAATGTTGGGTAAAGGTCCATTGCAGAGATAACTTCATGAGAGACTTGACCAGGGAAGTGCCCGGCATCCTCGCAATCATTGGGATACGAAATCCGCCTTCAAAAGTATTGGATTTTCCACCTGGGACGAAAAGTGGGAATAATTAAATGTGAAAATGACGACTTTAAAAAAATTACCCTTTAGTCCAGCCGTTGATCCTCCATTATTACACAGCTCTTGGTGAGGCCCGTGGTCAGAAAGGAATATAGCAAGAGTGTTAAAAGCAAGTCTGTTTGCCCAGAGATCTTTAATAACTTCGCCGACATACCAACCCATTTCGTTTAAATTGTCACCAAAAATGCCTAAAACATAGGGCTAATTTGGTCCGAGAGTTTTTTTCAAAATTAATTTTAACCTCTCTTAGATTTTCCTTTAAAGTTTTTGTTTGCAAATTGTGCAACATGGACGGCGGTACGACAATTGAGAATACGCACTTGAGGATATGACAAATGAGGACGACATTTGAGGACGACAATTGAGGATCTGACATATGAGGACGACAAATGAGGACGACATATAAGGATTTGACAAATGAGGATAAAAATGAAAAATAAAAAAGACTTGAAAGGTCCATAAAACTCGGAAGACCCCCACTTGGAAGACCAATAATGAAGAATTGGTCTCTTTCCAGCGCCGCAGGCGAACATTTTTGAATTTCAAAAGGTCAAGGATCACCGTTTTTCATTATTATTTTAATCCTCAATTGTTGTCCTCATTTGGCATATCCTGATATGTCGTCCTCACTTGTCGTCCTCATATGTCAGATCCTCAATTGTCGTCCTTATTTGTCATATCCTCAAGTGCGTATCCTCAATTGTCGCAACACCACATGGACATGTGGGAAGGAGTGGAAATAAAAGAAAGGTTTTGTTTGAATTGTAGGTATTGCTTTGTTATTAAGAAAGTAACGCCAATCAGCAAGCATTTCAGCAGTAAAATTTGAAAAAGTTGGTGGATGTGAAACAATCTACATTAATTTTTAAAGTTATTTGACGGGAAACATTCTCCTAAGGAAGTATTAAACTTGCCTTATCTCCTTTATAAACAAAACACTTATCCGGGTCAGGCCCTCCAGGATAAAGCTCTCCTGTCTCGTCACACTCCCAAAGCAAAGTAAGAGGCATATTTATCCCAACAAAATCAAATCCCCTCCGTCCAGGTAAATGACTTCCATCCGAATTATTTTTTTCATTAATTCCTAAATGCCATTTCCCAGCCATTCCAGTATTATACCCATAGGTTTTCAACATTTCTGCTATTGTTGGCTCTTCTTTCGGTAAACCGCCTGTATCATGCATATAAAAAACACGGTTGCCACCTATGATGCCGAGACGAATGGCAAGACGGCCTACAATTATAGAGGAGATTATATTTACTAGGGAAGGTTGCGAGGTGTCCGACTTAAAAACGATCGAGACCGGGCTCATTCGATAGAGAATATGCCCTTTCTAGCAAGAATTTTGAGCCGTTTTTTGATTTGGCCAAGATATGGCCTTCCAAAGTCCCAAAATTTAAGCCGTTGACACAATTATACTATAATCAAAATACCAGTCATGAATGCAGCACGTGCAGGAGAACAAACAGAATCAGCAGAATAAGCATTAGTAAATTTAATCCCCTCACGCACCAATTGATCTACAGGATTAAATTCTTGTTCCAAATTTCCAAAACTTTGTAAATCTCCAACCCCAAGATCATCAACCATAAAAACCATTATATTTGGGCGTTGTAGAAAGGGATTTTTGTTGTTAGAGAGACAATTAATTAATTTTAAAGAAAATAATAAAGTGGAAATAATTAAATTAATAAATTGCATTTTTTCCAAAAATAACGTTTTTATGTTTCTTAGAATAATTCTAAAAATATTAGCTGGCTAAGAAAGAACTATCTAAAAATTTTCAGATAAAATTGTCAAAATTATTTAGAAAACTTTAATTAACTCTCCGTCCTCATACTCTCCGCTTCATATTCTAATAAAATTAAAGTTCGGAAATGTTCACGATTTTTTCTCAACATTTAATTTAAAAGGGTTACCGTATATACAAAACTCTGGGTAATTATTGTTTCAACCCTTCAAGTAATAACCCCCTCACTAGAGGGGGTTATTAATAGAGGCGGGGCAATTATTTGAGGGAGGGTAATTAATAGAGGTATATTTTAACTCAAATTCATCTCAAGATTTCCTAGCGAGGTTTTTAGTTTGACCAGCATTTATACACCCTAAAGCACACAATCAAAAAATCAACAAAAATTGCTATTAACTAATTTTTAAAATTTAATTAACTCTCTAACTTAATTTTTAGAGTTATTAAAGTAATATTTAAATTATTTGAGAAAATGTTTAGTTTAAGAATTATTTTTCACTAAATTTTAGCAATTATTTATTTATTTATTCTATCCAATTTGAATAAAATTTTGTTAAATTTTACGTGGAATACTTGATCAATTAAATACTATCAATTAAATATACTATCAATTAAATAATGACAAATTTATTAAATAAAATCAACACATTTATTTTAGAAAATTTAGGAAATTTTTTTTAATTAAAAAAGGGAAAAATAAACATTTTTTTAGAATAATTTAAACAAATTTTTGATGTTGATTTTATTAAATATTTTTGATTGTTGGAAACTCAAATATATAAATATTTGGTTATAAGATTTTTTTCTAAAATTTATAAGGTCATTCTATTTTTAATTATTAAATGTTTTTAAAAAATATGTACATTAATGGACAAAATTATAATGACCCTTTGCTTTGTTCTGTTTAAACTTTAAAGTTTAATAAAAAATTTTTAATTTCCCTGTGAACATAATTTTGGAAGACGAGGTTTATGTGAACAAAGACTTTTATCTTCCAAAAAGATAGAAATCCAAAACATTTATAGAGGAATATTCTAAACATTTATTTTATTCCGTTTTTAAATAAAATAACAAAAATAAACTCAAAATTTTAATTTTTTTTCTTTACAATTTTGGTGCACCATAAGCATCTGAAAATAAAATTAATTTTTCTAAAAAATAAAAAGTAATTTACCAGGCATTCTTTCAATAGTATAACGATGATCTCGAATATACATAATTGGAACCCCTGGAATTTTACGTATACGCATTCGTAAATCTCTGTCACAAGTAGCAACGATATAACATTTGTGCTAGGAAAAAGGGATATTTTAGAATAAATTTGAAGAATAAAATTAAAAAAAATATATTTTTAATGTGGAAAATGTGTCCTCTTTTCGATACCAGTAGAGCTTACTTGTACCGATCAAATAAAGAAATTTTCTCTTTCATTCCTATTTGTATGCCAAAATTATAAAGATTATTGGCTAAAATAGATGATTAATTTTAATTTTAAAAAATCAGTTGCTCGAAAGAAATACCCGCAACAGTTATGACACAATTTTAAATCTCTGAATCCGATAACTAGGAACCGAAAAGAAAAAATTCAAAATTAACCTGAGTAATTCTTTGAACAATACAATCGTCCGCATAAATTCCCTTATGAGAACAATGAAGTCTTTGGAACCGCTGATCTTTAATAATTTTCAAAGCCAATTTGAAACGACGTCCCTGCTTTTCCAATTCACCAAGAACACAATCAGGAATGTATGGAATTACTAAAATTGAAGAAATTTAAAATGAGAATGAGGTTCACCCAAAAATTGGCGGGAAAGCAAATGTATGGGATCGTCGGTTAAGAAATGAAAAAGGATTTTTTAGTTAGACTTTCAGTATATTATAGATATCCGAAGATTTCTCAAGAACCAACACTTCTAATTATCTCATCACATCCAATGACCAGTCAATCTAAAAAATTAAGTTGTTCGCATCTTAAACAAGTCCCCGAAAATTTTCTCCCCAATTCTGTAAAAAAACTCCTCCAAACCTTTAGCAAAAAGACAATCCATAAATCCTTTCATAACATCTATCCGATTTTTGATGCTGAAATTGACAAAATTTGTATCAACGATAACATGGAAAGGAGGTCCCAATTGAGTGTTGTATTTTAAAAACATTGCTGAAGAAATACGAGGCCTTTAAATTTTAAATAAAAAATCAAATTTAAAAATTAGATAATTACGCTTCCTTGATTTTTAATGCTAGTTCGTCTTCCTTTTTAGGTCGAACAGTTCGAAGCTCTTCTTTACTAAAAAAATTAATTTTAAAAATAAACTAGGTTTAAAAAAATTTAAATTATCCCTTTCCATTATCTCCCAAATTTACCATTCATCTTTTATTTACTTTTCTCTAAAAAATTACGAATCAGTCAAGTGTTTGTAACTAATTAACAGAAAATTGGGAATTGATTTTGGAATTTCTGGTAACCATTTAAATTGATAATTAAAGGCGATTTCGCTCACCAAATACCGATGGTCTACCGACCAAGCTGTCGGTAGGTGCTTTAAACTTGTTTTTAATAGACTTTTAAACTCAAAAACATCCACCCCTAAAATTATTTAAAAAATAAACAAACATTCTGTCATCCGTTGGCTTAATCAATCGTTGAAGTTTATTGCAAAATTTTTGTGTCTTTTTCAGTCGACCCATCTTTAATTGTTTTCCTTTTAAATTTTATCTAATCAGATATTAAGAAAATAATTTTCTTATAAATTTAAAAAAAATATTTAAATTAAATAAAAAAATATTTAAAAATCAAAATTTATTACAATACATTTATTACCGGCATAAAATATCAAAAAACTGATAAATTGAAAGAGGAAAAATCAAAAAAATAATATTGAAGTAAAGGATATGGCAATAGTTTTCGAGTGAAATTAAATCTACCTAGTTTTCATCTACAAAATAATGGACAACCCCATTTTTATCAATTCTTCTCATTTTTTGCAGCCAATTCAATTTATTCTTCTCAACAAAAATTTGAATGGCTTCATTCGTTAGTTGCTACAATTAATCCAATCTCGTGGGAAATCCGGATTATTAATTGGCAAAGCAGAATTTGAAATTCGATCCAAATTTTTGGATTTAATTTTACATTTATCTGGTCTCTGTCTTTTAATAATGGAACAACATTCTGCTGTTGATGGAAAAAGTTTGAATAATAAAAAATGTGTGGACATGAAAGAAGCTTAAAAACAACTACTACAGCTTTGCAAGTTTATCAATTGGTGATTTACAAGAAATTGACATTTTCATGGTATCTGTTATTTTGGTTTTTATTATTTTGGGTTTACATCAATACAGTGAGAAATTTAATGAAATACATGAAGACAATTTAATAAATACATTTTATTTTTTAGATTTTATCTATCAAACATCAGCAATTACTGCAGAAACTAGACACATCTCAAACTCCCCAAATCCGTGTAATTTCCAGCTGTAACATCAAGAATACTCTAATAATGATATTTTTGGTTGTGGATTAGTTTATCCTCCAACTAATAAAATGAATGAATCTCCGTACATTTTTTTACTCAAAATGGAAAAGGAAGTTGTAACTATCAACTATCTAATCAAATTCATAATTGATAGTTAATAGTTGTAAATGAATAATTAATAGCTGATACTATGAGCCCAATCACACTGACACCGATAGTATTCTTGATGTTACAGCTGGAAATTACACGGATTTGGGGAGTTTGAGATGTGTCTAGTTTCTGCAGTAATTGCTGATGTTTGATAGATAAAATCTAAAAAATAAAATGTATTTATTAAATTGTCTTCATGTATTTCATTAAATTTCTCACTGTATTGATGTAAACCCAAAATAATAAAAACCAAAATAACAGATACCATGAAAATGTCAATTTCTTGTAAATCACCAATTGATAAACTTGCAAAGCTGTAGTAGTTGTTTTTAAGCTTCTTTCATGTCCACACATTTTTTATTATTCAAACTTTTTCCATCAACAGCAGAATGTTGTTCCATTATTAAAAGACAGAGACCAGATAAATGTAAAATTAAATCCAAAAATTTGGATCGAATTTCAAATTCTGCTTTGCCAATTAATAATCCGGATTTTCCACGAGATTGGATTAATTGTAGCAACTAACGAATGAAGCCATTCAAATTTTTGTTGAGAAGAATAAATTGAATTGGCTGCAATAAAGAGAAAGAGATTTTAATTTAAACGGTATTTTTCAATAACCCCCCTCCCCACCCGCCCTCTTTTTATCGCAATTATTGCCAAATCCTTCACTTCAAAAATCAATTAAAATTAAATTGATTTTTAAAATTAAGGAAAAAAATCCGAAAAGTCAAAGACAGAGGAAAATAATATTTTCAAATTAGTAATAAACAGAAAAATACAAAAAGAGATTCCCGTTTATTTAATTCCAATTCATTCCATTTTTGATTTATCCTCTTCCATTTTTCTCAAAAAGATTTCTTGAGCTCACTAAAAATTAAAAAAAAAATTCCAAAAAATTCTTTCAAAAAAACCTCCGTCCAAGAAAATTTTTTTGCATCCATTTCTTCCTCGTCCTCCATAAGTTTTTGTCTTTTAACCATCAATTCATGAAAACAATCAGCAACATCTTCTTTTGTAATAACTGTTTCACCGTTACGTTTGCTTGCTGAACGTTGTGAGAAAAAGGCAATACAATGACGCTTCATTTGTTCAATTCCTAAAGAAAATTTAAAATTAAAAAAGAATATTAAAGGGATCAAAAAATATTTTGTCGAAAAACGACCAAAAAACAACCTACACACCCCGTCTACGGGCCTGGTGTAAATAACAACCTTGGTTATAAAACTATAAGGCTGGGAAAGGTTTGAACCTGGGATGTGCCTTCCGCATTTTAAAAAACGGAAGACCAAAGCCAAAAACAATAAGAGTAAAGTAGGATCCCATCCAGATCTCCTACTTCACGAGCCAACCTTATACAGATAAACTTTAGTTTTTAAAAAAATTTTTAACTTTAAGAATAAATTTTAAAATTTTTAAACAAACCTGTAGTCATTTTTAAAGCTAATTCCCTTTGCAATTGTGTATCTTCTACTTGTTTCATCTTTTTGTTTCTATCATCTTGAGAATTTGATTTAGCAGCCATTTGTTCACGATTTCGTTTTTCAAAATATTCTAAAGTATCTTCAACTTCCAAAAGGTATTGACAATCCGAATCTTCATACAAAACCTAAAAAAGATTTGATTAACTAAAAAGTACAGAAGTTTTTAGACATTTTCTTGTTTAATACAAAACACAAAAATTTTTCATAATTATTAATGCTACAAAATAAAGTTTCCAAAAATCGTCTTTATTTATAAAATAATTTCGTGATTCTAAAAATTCGTTGGCAATTTCAAAAAATTGTAAACTGGAATTTATATCGTAATCAAGCTAATAAGGAAATTTCTTTAAAAATTCCGATCAAAAATAAAATTATCCAAAAGAAAAATTTCCCTACTTGTCGAAATTATAGTAAAAGAGGGTGGTCTCATCACTAAACATACCCACCTATCTTTTAAAAATAATTTTATAAAAAACCTTGCATTCGTTACAACGGCAAAGTTGATCACGCCAATTAATTGGAAAACAAATTCCATCATTTCCTTTATTTATTCCATCTGAACAATTCTTTAATAATTCCAATTCGCAACAATTTTGTTGTTCGCTTCCTTCAATTTTATTTGAATAACAAACAAGCCATGGAAGTTTTTGAATGCAGAGAGAACAAATCAAACAAAAGCCTCCATCTTCTTCCTCCTCCCTTTCTCTATCAAGTTTGGAGCGTTCAGTAACGTCAGAAATAGCATGCTTAAAAATCAAAAAATTTAAGATTAAAGGGATATTATAAAAAAATATTTCCTCTTTAAGCAGGACTTTAAAGACTAATTCAAACAAATTTCTACCACTATCCAAAGTTCTTGATGTAAGGCAGTCGAAATTTACATAAAGCCTAGTTATTAAAAAGCAAACATAAAAATAAGTAGTGGAATGCTAATTCCTGGGATGGCCACTTTATCTAGCTTTACTCGCTTTTTTTGATGGGGAACGGAGAAATAATTCGACTTCCCACATTTTATCCAAGTTCCCATGGTTTCCAAAAGCTTATCTTCGTTTCTATTTAAATTCAAAGAAAAACATTTAAAATACCGAAGGATGAAACCAATCTTCACAAATTTGACATTGGACCATATCTTCAAAAGCATCATCATTTTTTCCTTCTTCTTCTTCCTCTTCTGGAGGATAAGGCTTTTTACAAACACAGAAAATCCCTTTGAAATTGTCATTGTAAATATTGCGTTGATTGAGTGGGTCTTTCTCCTTAAATAGGGTTAAAAGGTAAATTAAATGAATTAAAAATTCAGTAGACAAATATTAACATTTAAAAAGGTATATTTGGACAGTTTGATTAATTTTTCAAAATGGTAAGCGTTAGGAAAGGACAGTTATGACAATATCTCCGCTAAAATAAGTAAAAGGGTAACTATAAAATGGAAGCTCACTTCTCAAAAAAACATAAAAAAACCTCAAAAAGTTTGCATTTCAACTTTCCAAACTTTGAATTTCCACAATCACAACAAAAATTTCGTTTTGTATACAATTCAACAAGATCATGTCCTTCATGACAATTCTCACAACAAGCATAACAAACTCCAGCTAATTGACCACCATTTTGTGCTGAACAAGTTTTGCAAGAATAAAGAGGTTGGCGAGGTTTGTAGCCCTTAAATGTTAAACATTTATTAAAAGTTTTAAAGAGTGGAAAAAAATCAGATAAAGGAAGTTTAGCAAGTTTCGCAAGAATTATTCCCTTTAATAAAGAAGGCAAAGAAAAAGCACTAATAAAAGAAAAGATTATAGCCGAGCCCCCGAAAAATCCGAGCCGAGCAGTCGAGAATTTAAAGGCTATTAAGGTAATTCATAACTTTAATGTAAGACGCAGCGTGGTGTAGTGGCTTAAAATACTGTTCTGGTGAATTGGTGCCAATGGTTCGAATCCACTCCCCAAAATGATTGATGGAGTTTTTGAATTCCCACCGAACAAAACAATTTCAAAAAAGTTCAGACCCCGTATAAAAAATTAAAAGGAAACCTCAGGATAAGTACAAACTAAATCCAAGCATCCACCCAATAAAGCTTCCGCATCCTTCGCTCTAGCATTTTCTTCCCCAACAAAATCTTCCAAAGCCAAGGAAATAGCATCACTAAGAAATTCTCCAACTTGTAATTGTAAACATTCTTCTTTTAATATTAAAGAGTTGTTATTGCTTGTTGATTGCTGCTCCTGTTCCGGCTCTTCTTTAGTATCCTCTTTCAAACAAATTTTGTCTACCAAATCTTCCACGATACTCTCAATGGTACCTTCTATATCTAAACAATTTCCCCCTTTAGCGACGTCATTGAAAAGATTAAAAGAATTCATTTAAATTACTAAAAAATGAAAAAAAAATTTGCAAAAAAAACAACAAAATTAAAACCAAGCCAAGCAAAATTGGAAAAATGTAAATAAAAGGAAATCGACAAAATGTCCAAAAATTGGCGAATTTACAGATCGACAACTATCCTATTCAGTTTTTCGAAAAGCGTACAACAGAATAGAGGACAAAATGGTCAAAAGAAGGAAAATAGACAAAATGGCAAAGAATTACTAAATTGTTAAACAGAGGAGAATTCAAGTTATTTGAGGTAGATTATAAAATTTTTGCCTATCAAACAAAAAAGTCAAAAAAATTTAATGGTCAAACATTTTAAATTGAAAAATAAAAAAAAACAAAAGTAATTTTCAGTAAAATTCTTTAACAATTAAATGTTTTGAAATATCATATTTAAATGGCTTCGTCTCCAAATCATTCCCAAAATTTGCTTCAACTGAACAGCTTACGACCATAACATATGGATTATATGAGTCAGAATTGTCCTTTAATAATGTAGCCTTACCTTAAAAAATAATTAGTGAAAATTTTTTCATTAAATATTAACCAATTTGTTTTCCATTTTGTGTAAAGAAAACATAAGGAAACTCTTCATTCATTTTATTAGTTGGTGGATAAACTAATCCACAACCAAAAATATCATTATTATTGAAAGAAAGTGTTGGAAGTTTAAATAATTCTTCTTTCTCGTTATAAATGCTAGATTCCATTGCAGAAAAGTAAATACATTTATTTGTACTACAATTTTTAAGAGCAATACTCATCCAATTTACTCCCTTATTTAATTCTCCTTCAAATTTACATTTAACTTCAAAATAATATAAAGAATAATTAAAACAATTTTGAGGTTTGTTGAATGAATTTTCTGTATAGACTTCAACATAATTATCCCAACCTAAAAAATATTTACAAAAAAATCCAAAAATTCAATAATTTACCTCCTTTCCCCACCAAATATACAATAATTTCATCATTAATTATTAGGGACAGCCAAAACATGCAAATGCATGTTTTGTATGCGGATATGCCTTGAAGTGGGAAGCCCAAAAATGGTGTTTTTACATAGGTACGAGCACTTTAGGACCCGGTTCTTAATGCATATATTTGCATATTTCGACCATTTCGTGCATATTTGCATATTTGTGCATATTTTGGTCCATATTTAGGAATTTTTTGTAAAATTTTGCCAAAAATTGACCAAAATTTTGAAATTTTTTGGTCAAAAAAATTTTTTTATGAAAATTTTTTGAAAAAATATTTTCGAAAATTTTTTGGGGAAAATTTTTTTCCCGAAAATTTTTGCAGAAATTTTAAATATATTAAATCCTTTAGAAGTGTTCATAAAATGTAAAATTAAAGGCTAAATTAGTGTTTTTAAATTAAAATATTGATTTTTAAAGCATATTTTAACTATTTTTTGGTGCATATTTCACTGCATATTTTGCAAATTTTGCATATTTTGATGCATATTTTGGGCTTTTTCGGTGCATATATATGCGCATATTTGGCAATTTTCCGTGCATATTTTGGCTGTCCCTATTAATTATATTAACAAATCCATTTCCTTTAATACAATTACCAATAGGTTTGTTTGCATTTATACATTTATTGTTACAACATTGACCATCAGTTCCACTCCATTTATTTTTAATTTTAACAAAATCCTTTTAAAAAATTAATTACATATAAACTTGCCACGAAGCCTAAATTTTTTAACCTTAACAAATTGTTAAGGGTTGTCAGGTTTTGGCGTATCCGGATCCAAAGTCAGTGTATCAAAAAATTCTCGTTCGGATATCCAGAGATTTTTTTTCCTCTTTGTAAAAATGGGGAAGGCGACTTAAAAAATTAGTGAAAATTAAAGAAGAATAATTTGTTTAAAATATTTAAGCAGCTCAAAAACAAGGGGAGATTATTTGAGGATTTTTAAATAAAAATTTGTCTGGAATGACTTTGTCTGCAACTTTTTGAGGTAAATTTATGGATGAAAACAAACAAAAATCCGCAAAAATTTAATAGCCTTTAAAAATCCAATTAAAAATAATAGCTAGGAATTTAAATTTAAAAAATGAAAAATAAATACTTGTTGTTGTTGCATTAACATTGCAGTCTGCTGTTGCTGCAAAAAAGTATTTGTCAAAAACGAAGCCATCATTTGCTGTTGAGCCATACACCAACGAACAGATTGGGACCATTTATGGACCTAAACATTCCTTATTTAAAATTTCCAAATAAAAACCTCTTGAACATAAGCTGCAGCAGAGCCGTAATCTTTTTTAATTTCATTGGGTAAGTTAAATTTGTTGTTGTTATTAAATTCTTTTTTAGTAGAGGACGACATTAATTTAAATAAATAAATAAAAATAAAATTTTCTGTAAAAAATTTATGTTAAACTTCAATGAATCACTTAACGCTGATGTGTACTTGCTGATTTATATCAGCTGATGAAACGTTAAAATATATTTAACGACATTAGGTCAATTTTGACTGTTGTGACCATTTATTTGATTGACATTTTTAAAGTTTTCTTCTTTGTGACATTTTTGTCAAGCGAGCAAAATGGACAAGATTACGATTGTGTTTTGTTAATTTTCTTGTGTTTAACCATTTTGTCTCCTTTAATTCTTTCAAAAAATTTAAATTAGCACACTCTCAAAATTTTAGACATTTTTTTTCTTTAGAATATTTTAATTAAAAATACCAAAAATGACTGAAGAAGAACTATCAAAGTCAGAGTTTGACAATCTTCAAATAAAATTTGTTGAGGAAAAGACTTTCAATAATGAAAAGAGGATTTTTTTTCTTGAAAATAAATTGAAGGAAATGGATAAAGTTTGGATATTTTGTTAAATATTTTTTAAAATAATTTTAGAAAATTGAAAAAATAAATTCTGACCATAAGAATGAAATTGAAGAAATGAAGCAAAATTTTCAAAAATTAATTGAAGAAAGATTTCAACAATTAAAAGATGAAAATGTTCAAAATGACAAGAAAATTAATTCGGTGGAAGAAACTAAAATGGTAAAAATTAACTACTAATTAAATACTAGGGGTGGCTGATCCTAGGAAATCTCTGGATATCCGAACGAGAATTTTTTGATACACTGACTTTGGATCCGGATACGCCAAAACCTGACAACCCTTAACAATTTGTTAAGGTTAAAAAATTTAGGCTTCGTGGCAAGTTTATATGTAATTAATTTTTTAAAAGGATTTTGTTAAAATTAAAAATAAATGGAGTGGAACTGATGGTCAATGTTGTAACAATAAATGTATAAATGCAAACAAACCTATTGGTAATTGTTAGGGACAGCCAAAACATGCAAATGCATGTTTTGTATGCGGATATGCCTTGAAGTGGGAAGCCCAAAAATGGTGTTTTTACATAGGTACGAGCACTTTAGGACCCGGTTCTTAATGCATATATTTGCATATTTCGACCATTTCGTGCATATTTGCATATTTGTGCATATTTTGGTCCATATTTAGGAATTTTTTGTAAAATTTTGCCAAAAATTGACCAAAATTTTGAAATTTTTTGGTCAAAAAAATTTTTTTATGAAAATTTTTTGAAAAAATATTTTCGAAAATTTTTTGGGGAAAATTTTTTTCCCGAAAATTTTTGCAGAAATTTTAAATATATTAAATCCTTTAGAAGTGTTCATAAAATGTAAAATTAAAGGCTAAATTAGTGTTTTTAAATTAAAATATTGATTTTTAAAGCATATTTTAACTATTTTTTGGTGCATATTTCACTGCATATTTTGCAAATTTTGCATATTTTGATGCATATTTTGGGCTTTTTCGGTGCATATATATGCGCATATTTGGCAATTTTCCGTGCATATTTTGGCTGTCCCTATTAATTATATTAACAAATCCATTTCCTTTAATACAATTACCAATAGGTTTGTTTGCATTTATACATTTATTGTTACAACATTGACCATCAGTTCCACTCCATTTATTTTTAATTTTAACAAAATCCTTTTAAAAAATTAATTACATATAAACTTGCCACGAAGCCTAAATTTTTTAACCTTAACAAATTGTTAAGGGTTGTCAGGTTTTGGCGTATCCGGATCCAAAGTCAGTGTATCAAAAAATTCTCGTTCGGATATCCAGAGATTTCCTAGGATCAGCCACCCCTAGTATTTAATTAGTAGTTAATTTTTACCATTTTAGTTTCTTCCACCGAATTAATTTTCTTGTCATTTTGAACATTTTCATCTTTTAATTGTTGAAATCTTTCTTCAATTAATTTTTGAAAATTTTGCTTCATTTCTTCAATTTCATTCTTATGGTCAGAATTTATTTTTTCAATTTTCTAAAATTATTTTAAAAAATATTTAACAAAATATCCAAACTTTATCCATTTCCTTCAATTTATTTTCAAGAAAAAAAATCCTCTTTTCATTATTGAAAGTCTTTTCCTCAACAAATTTTATTTGAAGATTGTCAAACTCTGACTTTGATAGTTCTTCTTCAGTCATTTTTGGTATTTTTAATTAAAATATTCTAAAGAAAAAAAATGTCTAAAATTTTGAGAGTGTGCTAATTTAAATTTTTTGAAAGAATTAAAGGAGACAAAATGGTTAAACACAAGAAAATTAACAAAACACAATCGTAATCTTGTCCATTTTGCTCGCTTGACAAAAATGTCACAAAGAAGAAAACTTTAAAAATGTCAATCAAATAAATGGTCACAACAGTCAAAATTGACCTAATGTCGTTAAATATATTTTAACGTTTCATCAGCTGATATAAATCAGCAAGTACACATCAGCGTTAAGTGATTCATTGAAGTTTAACATAAATTTTTTACAGAAAATTTTATTTTTATTTATTTATTTAAATTAATGTCGTCCTCTACTAAAAAAGAATTTAATAACAACAACAAATTTAACTTACCCAATGAAATTAAAAAAGATTACGGCTCTGCTGCAGCTTATGTTCAAGAGGTTTTTATTTGGAAATTTTAAATAAGGAATGTTTAGGTCCATAAATGGTCCCAATCTGTTCGTTGGTGTATGGCTCAACAGCAAATGATGGCTTCGTTTTTGACAAATACTTTTTTGCAGCAACAGCAGACTGCAATGTTAATGCAACAACAACAAGTATTTATTTTTCATTTTTTAAATTTAAATTCCTAGCTATTATTTTTAATTGGATTTTTAAAGGCTATTAAATTTTTGCGGATTTTTGTTTGTTTTCATCCATAAATTTACCTCAAAAAGTTGCAGACAAAGTCATTCCAGACAAATTTTTATTTAAAAATCCTCAAATAATCTCCCCTTGTTTTTGAGCTGCTTAAATATTTTAAACAAATTATTCTTCTTTAATTTTCACTAATTTTTTAAGTCGCCTTCCCCATTTTTACAAAGAGGGCAAACAATTCGACTAAATCTTACAAGAATTTTTCGAACAGCTAGGGCAACGCCTAACATTGTATTTTTTTAATTTTATTTTTAAATAATTAAAAAATTAATTTATTTCAAAGCCCCAAACAATAATTGTACAGCAATTCGAAATTCCCTCATTTTTTCGACGTATAGCTGCGGAGGCTATTGATTCTGTTATTATGTTTATTTTCAAATTTTTTCTTGTTTATACGCTTGTGAGGGCTGATCTTATGTAAGAATTTTTTATTGAAAAATTTTAGGGATTTAGGCGTGTAGAATTTTGATGGCCTTTTACGAAGTCCTCCAAAATTCTCAATTTTTTTTCTGGCCATGTGCCTTTCTTTAGATTTTTTTAAGTATAATCCACAATATAGTAATTTAAGAATGTTGGAGATTCTAGGGATTCCACGGATTACCCGCACCCCGTCTTTTTTTCTCAACCTGTAATTTCCTTGTAAGAGTCCGCAAAATTTTGTTTTTAAATTTTTGTCCACAAATTTTTACTTTTTGAGAATACAAATTTGAGGATTATTTGTTGGTAAAAATCCCCAAATAATCTCCCTCCCCTTCTTAATTCTTAAAAAAATCAATTCCACGAATATTTGCGGACTCTTCGACGACTTGCAGAATTTTTGTTTTTTCCCCCTCAAATACGTAAAACTTTTCTAATTTATTAATTGTGTGGAAGTCCATTCCTATGAATAGCTTAATTTCCTCTTTAATTTTCTAAAAATTTCTTTAATATTTTAGAGAACTGGATACATTTGATAGTATTTTAACTGCTAACGCTGATCTTCAAACCTTGATTGATGTTACACAAGGACTTTTTAGTGTTGAATTGTTATTTAAACTTGTTACTGCGATTATTGAGGTTTTTCATTTTTAAAGGGTTTTTACAAAAATTTTTGAAAAATATTTCTTTCTAATTGCCCCCCCCCCCTCCCTCCGAAAAATCCTGGTTGAGGGCCTGAACCCAAAAATAAACTCTTCCATGCTTTTCGATTATGTGAGTATTAGGAAATCTCATGAACCCCAAAAAAATTTTTTACCAAAAATAAGGAAAGACTTATATTTTGTCGATTAATCACACATTTTTTAAAATAATCCAAGAAAATTATTTTTTAATAAAATAGGCTTTATGTATTTCTTTTGGTGTTCCAGTTGGTTGTACTCCTGGAAAACGGCTTCTTGGAATTAAAATAATTTCTTGTTTGGATGTTCAACCAGTTGCTGGATCGCCTGATCGAGTGGCTATTACAGGCTTTGCTTATGTTGATTTTAAAAGGTTTATAATTTTTTTAAAAAAGTAGGAAAATATTAGGAAAACTTGATTTTAACTCGATTCAGCCCAGATTTTCAAGTCTAGAACTATTAAAACCAAAACTACTATGCCCTGTTCCTCCAAAAACGTCTAGTCCGAATTCTGATAAATATTTGGTAGTTAGGTAAAAAATGAGTTTGACATAGCCCTTTTGCAATATGCTTACAAAGTCCTCAAATATTATCTGCAAATCATCTTATAACTTTAGGTCCGATTTAACTTTAGGGCCTTCACAATTTTTCCCCTAACAATAACAAGAAGAGTGATAGCAGATTGTGAATTGCCATACCACCAAAAAATTCTCCAAAAATAATTTTCAGACTTTGGGAGTATCTTTTTTCAGTATCTTTTATTTTTTTTCATTCACTACAAAATTTATAAATAATTTTCAAAAAAATATATACAAAATATATACATAATTAATTTTTGATATTTTTTCTTAATTTTCTGATTAATTCCTTTTATTCTTTTTTCTCGTCATTTTTCATTTTTACCTCTGTTTCGGTTGTTTTATCGGCTATTTGTTTCCAGAATTGAGGACCAATGCCAACCTCTTTCCTTTTTGGGTCTTTGTTTGCTATTAATTTAGCATACTTTCTGTAGAATTCTGTCATGTCCTTTGCTTAAATATTTAAAAAAATATTTTTCTATTTCTTTGAAGTAGTGTCAGTTAATCGAACCCGCAAACCATAAGAGACTTGATCTAGACTCGGTTATAGGTTTCGAGACAACCTTTCGATCTCACAGGAAAAAATTTATTTCCACAAGGAAATTATTTTTTGGTGCTCCAGACAAATTTTCGACCGTTAATGTATCAAAGCAAGCATTCCCATAAAATGCCAAGAAACTCAAAAAAAGCCCAGGATCTAAGAAACAAGACCAAGAACACTGATAGCCTTTTTAACACGTATTATTTCTCTTAAAGTTACCATTTCCATTTTTCTCCCCATTTTTCTCTTTATCCTCTTTTTGTTGAAATTTACTCTTTGTTTCCATCAATTGTTTAAAAATTTCCTCTTCTTTTTCATTCATATGCTCAATATCAGTTTTAATATTTTTATTCTCAACATTCTCTTGGGGGTCTGATTGCCCCTCAACATCATCTGATGATTGCCCAATTTTTTGAAAATTTTTGGAATATTTTTTGATAACCTTTTGTGCCTTTTGCGGTATTTTTACTCCTCTTTTTTGCAGTCTTAATTAAGGTTTATCAGTTATTTTTAGAAATGTGGAAAGGACCCAAATAAACCCTCAACTTTACCGCAAGTTTTAAACCTTGTTTAGGAGTTTCTAATCTCCCACACTGTGTTTGGTTCGTTATATCGAGCTGGATTGGTCATGGCTCGAGTTTCCCAGAAGACAGAATACACCGATTAGAGTTGGTTGCTCTTAAATCAAGATATCAATTTTTGGATATACTGGAATTTTCGGTTCGTATCCATATATCCTTGGATTTCCCTTGATCCACTGATCCTATAACCGACTGCCAACATCCGATCCGATAATGAATTACTTTCGCTTACCCAGCAGTAACCATTTCCAACATATCCTTTCCTATGTTATGGTTTGATTGTTGGGGAGGTTTCATTAAAATATGGTTTATTTTAGGGAAAATATTTTGTTGTTGTTCTTGTTTCCCTTCTATTTTTTCTTGTTCTACTAAAAACGAATTTCTTTAAAAATTTTTTTTGAAAATTTACTCGTTTCATTTTTTGTTATCTCCCTTTGATTTGCCTGTTTTTCTCCTTTAAATCTATCCATTAGCGCAAAACTCCCAGCTAATATTGGAATTGTTATTAAACTTTTTCTAGATTCCCCCCAAAATGTTGGAGGTGATCTTTTATTGCGTTGTTGATTGTCGTTGACAATTTCATATTGAGAATTGAATTCGCCTATAAAGTTGAAGAAAATTTTTGAAAATCTTTAGAACAAAATCTCAATATATTTTGATGGACCATACATTCTATCCCTGCCCAAAAGATACGAAGAGAACAACTATTTTCACTCCAGCTTTCAGACAAATAATCCCTTGAAAATTTGCTTGTATAATTCTAACTACCTTTTATAAAGCTTGTTAACATACAACCAAAATATGTAAAAATAAATATGGAATAGGAATAAGGCAAAAGTTGAATGGGGAAAATCATCTTAAAAAATTTTTTTTAAATTTTTCTTTAAATTTTTTTTGGTTTTCTTTAAAAGTGAAGAAAATTGTAAGTAAATGAAAGTTTAAATAGGGATTCCATTCGAGTTTAAACTTTGGACATTTCACGTGAATTTCTTTACTGCTCAGCTTTATTAATTTATAAGAATGACGAAAATATTAAAAATAGGGAAGGACTTTTGAAAATTTTTAAAATTCTTTTTCACATCCCGAAAATGCCCTATATCATGAGGGCATTTCCTTGCACTTTTTGGCTAAAAGTGCGTGTGTCCTCTTTCTTTACTCATGACTTTTCTTATTTTATTCTCATATGATTTTTAAATAATTATGAAAGTGTAAGTGACGCGGGGATTCAGCTGGATAGCATCTAATAAGACATTTATAAGTTTAGGATTTAGTAGGAGTTGAAGCTGGCGCCTCAGTCGGCAATAACATCTGTACACTGTGAGTGAAAGCATAATTAAATTCCTAGTTGTTTCGGTTAGGTTATTTTCAAAAACCAGTCCATGGAAAAGTGTTAAAAGATTAAGTAATCTAGGAAAAAACAGCAAAGGACCTTCTAACTTTTTTTTCTAATTTCAGAGCTCTTCTCCGCTCTGTTCTGAAAAATATGGTGATAATGTTTTTATTTCCATTGAGTACAGCTTTTTATATGTTTAACTACAATAGAGCTATATATGACTTGGCGGCAAAAACAATTGTTGTGAGGATGTGAAAAGCTTTTAATTTTATTATTTACTAATTAATTTATAGACTATTTACTTTTTAGAAAATTTTTATTTGTAAAGATTTTTTACACAGCCAAACCTCACTAGATTGGGGAGACACCTCAAGATTCTTTTCACCTTTACCGATCACCTTTACCCCCCCCCCTACATTCTTTACTTCCTCACAATAAGACCATTACAAAAACCCCCCAAGAAAAACAAAAAAATCTAGTTAGGATACACTCATCATAAGACACTTTTTTAACCCCAAGGATGTACCTAAAAGTGAGGTCTGACTATAATAATAAATGTGTATTTATTTTTTTAATAAGATATATATAATTTATATTCTTTTAAAAATATTCTCCTCAAAAAAATTGAAGTTTGTCCTTAAATTCTTCACAAAAAATAATTTTATTGCTGCGCCGGAGTCTGACGTTGTTTTTGCTTACTAATCTCGCGTGCTGCGCTTCTTTGTAGTTGACTTACACGCGTGTGAAGAGACTAAATTTTAAAGAGGAAATATTTAATCAGAATTTTCTTTAAAATAAAAAAAAAACAATCAGAATTTTTTTTGAAAAATCAGAATTTATTTATTTAGTAAATAAATCAGAATTTGTGTTCAGCCTTTTCCTTGAGTCTTCCAAGAGAACCAGAAATTTAATATAATCAGAATTAAAGCTAATATTCTGATTTTTGTGTTTACAAGAAAAATCGGAATTAATTTTATCAGAATAAATCTGCTTCGGTAAATGTTGGTATTTCGTTTTAAATCAGAATTTCTGATTTAAATAAAAATTCTGAATATTAAACAATTTCGATTTTAAACAAAAAACAAATTATGATCTCAAAAAATTCTGAAATTCTTAAACCAGAATTTTAATAAGTGTAAATTCTGATTTTTAATTATTAAAATCAGAATTTTTATTTAAACTCCACAAACCTGCAACCGCTGGTTAACACTCGTCATCCGTTTACGGCTATCTTCCAATTTTCTCACATAAATATCCAAATCATAGGGAAGTGTTTGTTCATCCACAATACTTTTTAATTCTAAAAATTAAAATATTTTCATTTAAATACTTTTAAAAAAACTTTTCGATAATTCATCAATATGGGAAGCCAACATTATTTGACTTTTCCTTGTACACTTTACTTGATTATCCAAATTCTGAACAGCAGGACGGATCATTTCCATTATTGCTGTGAAGGAAAAATTTTTAAGAAAAAATTTCTTAAAAAACCTTCCCCCATTTCTGTTCCCCCACCAATCACTGGCGGCTGTTCGTCTGCATTTGATGAAGAAATTGAAGGTTGTTGCACTTCTTTTTGTTCTTCCCCCTCTTCTATAACTTGAAAAGATGCCGAAGACTTTGAAGTATTGGCCATTTTTTGCTAACTTTGGAAACTTGAAGAAAATAAAATAATTAAGAAAAAGTCCAAGCTTAACAAAGAAAAAATTAACTCTCTACTACGAAAAAAGCAATTTCCCACAAATGACCGAATTGATAGTATGTTAAATAAAATTGGTAAGTTAATTATATAGTCAGTTGAGTCTGTCCTAATATCTGATACAGTGCTTCGAAATTTCGATTCTGCTCGTACTTCGTACCCTTTTTTGGCCTCGTACCTCGTACTTACTCGGTTGCCAATGATTCACTGACAGATGTTGGCACATGAACGTTGACTCTCAGCAGATGTTGACTTTGAACCTGAACGTTGGCTCCTAGCTTCGGCCGACCTTGCGCTTGAACGTTGACTCTCAGCAGATGTTGCAATAACGTTGACGCCTAGCTGGTCTCATTCAGGACACCAGCAGTACAGAACACAGTATAGTTGAGAAGTATTGTTAGCTTTTGAAGAATGACCAAGATACCCTGCTTTTATACTATCTTCTTATCCTTACAACCTAACTGGCAAAGCTTTACTATAAAAACCGCCTTTTCTCACTCCCCAAATCATTTTACTATAGAGCCCCTTTTTCCATAAAAGTACGAACAGACACACAGCTTTCGTAATCATATAATAAGATTTTTTCAATTTCATTTTTATGGTCAAAACTTTGTTGAATTTTCTAAAATTATTTTAAAAATTAACAGTTTTTCCTTCTCTTCAATA